GAGGCTGTAAATCTTTACGGGAGCAGAAAGCCTCATCTTTCTCCCACGGAGCAGCTGGTGGTTTCGAACTGCTGACCCTGAGGCTCACAGCCTGATTTGTAACCACTACGCTACCAGAGCTACCCAGTTCCCCCAGCTTGAGAAACACTGAGTGTGTTCTTTCTTGTGGTTTTCTGACTCCAGATCTTTGCACATTTCATTGTAATATTTGACTTTGTCTTCTCAAGTTGACCTTTGAAATTTTCAGTTTAGCTCTTGCACCTCCTCATTTCTTCCATTTGCTTTAGCATCTCTTCATTGGAGAGCAAGTTTCAGAGTCTCTTCTGACATCCATTTTGATCTTTTCCTTCTTTCTTGTCTTCTTAATGACTCTTTGCTTTCTTCCTGTATGATTAAGGTGGGGCTAGGGAGTAAAGATGATAGTGGATCTAAGGACTAAGACTGTCCCTCCTCAGTAGAGGGTGTGACCCAATGCACAACCCTTGGTTTCCCTTGGGGGCATGATCTGACTCCAATTTATAAGACAGCTTTGGAAAAGCTTGCTATCTTTAGCCGTGGATCTTGTATCTAGCTCATTACATCTGACCTCCAGATTGTGGGACATGCAGCCCATCACCTTGACCTGATTAACCAGGTCCCACAGCCTCGTGCCATCTGACTTGCCAATTTGGGTTGCTCAACTCTGGAGACAATGTAAGTGAGACGATTGCTCTAGACCTTGTAGTCCACAGGGCAGTGCTTCCTTTATATACACATGTGGTGGTGGTGGTTATGTGCCATGGAGTCGGATCTGACTCACAGTGACCCTGTACAGGGTTTCTGAGGCTGTAAATCTTTACAGGAGCAGAAAGTCTCATCTTTCTCCCACGGAACAGTTTCGAACTGCTGACCTTGAGGTTCACAGCCTGATTTGTAACAACTACACTACCAGAGAGCCTTATGTTGTTGTTGTTGTTAGGTGCCATCAAGTCAGTACCGACTCATAGCGACCTTATGCACAGTAGAACGAAACACTGCCCGATCCTGGGCCAACTTCACTATTGTTGCCACGTTTGAGTCCATCGATGCTGCCACTTTGCCAATCCATCTCACTGGGGGTCTTCCTCTTTTTCTCTGACCC